GTCTGGTCGTGGGACTTGAACTCAGGGCCTGGGCGCTGTCCCTCAGCTCTTCAGCTCAAGGCGAGCGCTCTACCTCTTGAGCCACGGCGCCACTTCCAGTTTTCCGAGTGGTTCATTGGAGATCAGAGTCTCATGGACTTTTCCTGCCCTGGCTGGCTTTGAACTGTGGTCCTCAGATCTCAGCCTCCTGAGTAGCTAGGATGACAGGCGGGAGCCACCGTTGCCCGGCTTGGGGCTTCATTTTTATAGCTGAGGGAAGTTGCTAGAAATGAAACCCCAGTGGGAGGCCCCCCCATCCCCCCCCCCCTCTCTGTAGGACCCCAGCTAGGCTTAGCAGCTTGTGGGCCTTGCTTAGAGTCAGGGGCAGGGTTGGGGGGGGTGATATGTGGAGAAAGTCGGGGAAGGCTGAGAACAGTTAGGGTTCCCAGCCTCAGCTGGCTTCTTGGCCAACTGAAGGCGGTTCGGCCATCTCCCCTGGCCTGTGGGGTTCCTGAGGCTCTGGGGAAAGGGACGCAGGCCCAGGACAAGCGTTCACCCCTTCCTCCCCGGGCCTGGTACCCCAGTGCTTCTGCCTAGCCTTCTGTGGCAGAGTAGGGGTGACCTGAACAAGCCTCTTCCTGATGGCGGCTGGCCGGCCAGCCGTGTCCAGCGGAGGGCATTTGGTGTCAGCTGGGCCGGGCTAGCTTTAATAACAGGAAGTGGGAGGCTTCCTTAGCCTCATCCGCTTACTGGGAAGCAAAATGAGGTGCCTGGGGTGGGGGGTTGGGGGTGGGGGCGGCGGGGAGAGAAGGAAGCTGGGGTCTGGGGGAGGGGACGCCACTGGGGTTGCTTAGAGCTTCCAACCCTGCCATAAGAGTACAGCCAGAAGGCATCTGAGCTGTCCTGGGGGGGGAGGGGGAGGGGGAGGCAGACACAGGCTCAGAGATGATTTTGTTTGTTTGTTTGTCAGTCATGGGGCTTAAACTCTGGGCCTGGGCACTGTCCCCCAGCTCTTCAGCTCAAGGCCAGTGCTCTACCACTTGAGCCACAGCGCCACCTCTGGTTTTCTGGTGGTTTCTTGGAGATAGGAGTCTCATGGTCTTTCCTGCCCTGGCTGGCTTTGAACCTTGATCCTCAGATCTCAGCCTCCTGAGTAGCTAGGATGACAGGCGTGAGCCACTCTTTTTTGTTGTTGTTGTTTTGTCAATTGTGGGGCTTGAACTCTGGGCCTGGGCGCTGTCCCTCAGCTCCTCAGCTCAAGACTTGCAGCTCTACCACTTGAGCCACAGCGCCACTTCTGATTTTCTGGTGGTTCATTGGAGATAAGAGTTTCACGGCGGGGCTGGGAAGGTGGCTCAGTGGTAGAGCGCTTGCCTTGCATGCATGAGGCCCTGGGTTCGATTCCTCAGCACCACATCCGCAGAAAAAATGGTGCTGTGGCTCAAGTGGTAGAGCTCTAGCCTTAAGCTGAAGAGCTGAGGGACAGAAGAGTTTCTCGGACTTTGCTGCCTGGGCTGACTTTGAACTGCGATCCTCAGATCTCAGTCTACTGAGTAGGTAGCATTCAGGTGTGAGTCACTGGCACCCAGCTTGTTGTTTTTGTTGGTTGTGGGACTTGAACTCAGCCTGGGTGCTGTCTCTCAGCTCTTCAGCTCAGAGTGCACTCTACCACTTGACCCACAGCGCCACTTCCGGTTTTCTTGTGGTTTATTGGAGATAAGAGTCTCACAGACTTTCCTGCCTGGGCTGGCTTTGAACCACAGTCATCAGATCTCAGCCTCCGGAGTAGCTAGGATGCAGGCGTGAGCCACCAACTCCTGGCTTGCTTTTATAGTTCTTTTCTCATGGGGGGGTGGGGAGAGATGAATGACTGAACAAGATGCAGAGATAGAGGAGACAGGATCAAGCCACACCCTGAAAAGGTCCACTGGGGTTAGGGGCTAGCCTGCCTGCTTCCCTGTGTCAGCCCCCTTCCCCCAGGCCTCTCCCCAGGACCCCCCCTTCCATCCCTCCCTCCCACCTCATCCCAAATCTCAAGGTCAGACCCACAGGCCTCCACCTAGGGCCGATCTGCCTCCTCCTCTGCCAGTTCTGCCATGGAAACACCTTTCAATCCCTCAGAGTGCATTGAGCAACTACTATGTGCTTAGCCCTGGGATGAGCGGAGATGTGGAGAGATGCTCTTCTCGAGCCTTTGCAGCCTCATCTTATGGGAGAGCATTAATGGAGTGCCAACTGTGTGCGTGGCTCCCAGCGGGCTTGGAATCAGTGAAGATCTCAAGAACCCCAGTGGCTCACCCCTGTAATCCCAGCTCCTCAGGAGGCTGAGAGATCTGAGCATGTCACTTTGAAGCTGCCCTGGGCAAAAAAAGTCTGGGAAATGCTTTTTATCTCCCCCTCTCCCGCCCACCAAAAAAAAAAAAAACCCAATGGGAGGTGAAGGTCAAGTGGTAGTGTGCCAGCCTTGAGCAGACATCGTCTAGACCCTGACTTCAAGCCCCAGAACTGGCACCAAACACTAACAAAAGAAATCAGGCTGTCCCATCCTGATCCAGCCAGGTCCTGGAGGAGTTAGCAGCACAGCCAGTGTTCACTGAGCTTCTGTGTCCTAGGACAGCATTGGGGGGAGGGAGGCTGGAGGAGGAGGAGCCAGGACTGGCTAGAGCCACGTGGCTATGCTGGGAGCCGGCCCAGGCATCACTCAAGTGGGCGGGGCTTAAGCAACGCCCCTTGACAAACCTCAGGCATGGCCAGCAGCATCCCGTTCCCTGGAGATCCGGGCAGGGCAGCGCACACATGCTGGTGTGGCCAGAGAGCAGGGCCAGGCCTGCCCCACTTCCTTCCCGAGCAGCAGCCTGGTGGGGAGGGGGGGGGGGGCGCTTCCCAGGGAACTCTGGGAGAATCCCATGGGAACCACATCAAGAACACAAGCATCCTCCCCCACCCCGGCCACCAGGCTGTGGGGTGCTCGAGTTGGCTGTGGCCTTGAGACTTGTCACTTTGTCTCTGGGCTTTTACTGGCCACTGGGACACAGGACCCCGAGAAGGATGTGGGTGACACCAGTGCCGTGTGTACGTCGCTGGTGCCACCGGTAGATTAGCAGCGACAGTGTCAGGCCCACGGGCTCCTGCTACTCAGTGAGGGAGGGCCGTGTGCATAAATAAGCCCAGGAGAGCCGGGCACCCGGTTGGCTCCCACCTGCCATCCTAGCTACTCAGGAGGCTGAGATCTGAGGATCAAGGTTCGAAGCCAGTCCAGGCAGAAAAGTCCCAGTGAGACTATTTAATTATTTAGTTATGTAGTCAGTCATGGGACTTGAACTCTGGGCCTGAGCACTGGTCCCTCAGCTCTTCAGCTCAAGGCAGGCGCTCTAACACTTGCGCCACAGCACCCCTTCTGGTTTTCTAGTGGTTTACTGGAGATAAGAGTCTCCAGGCCTTTCCTGCCCTGGCTGGCTTTGAACTGCGATCGTCAGATCTCAGCCTGAGTAGCTAGGATGACAGGCGTGAGCCACCAGCACCCGGCTCCGATGAACCACTCAAAGACCGGAAGTGGTGCTGTGGCTCAGTGGTAGAATGCTAGCCTTGAGGAACAAAAGCTCAGGGACAGTGCATAGGCCCCAAGTTCAAGCCCCACAACCTACCAAAAATTTAAAAAAAAAAAATGCTCGGGACAGGCAGAGATGAGGAAACTGAGGCAAGTGTGGCAGAGCCCCAAGTTGCCAGCTCCGCCACCCTGGGTTTGACCAGATACATCCCACAAGAGTTAGGCAGGCCCAGCGCTGATGGCTCACGCCTGTCATCCTAGCTACTCAGGAGGCTGAGATCTGAGGATGTAGGTTCAAAGCCAGCCCAGGCAGGAAAGTCCATGAGACTCTTATCTCCAGTGGACCACCAGAAAATCAGAAGTGGCGCTGTGGCTCAAGTGGTAGAGCGCTCACCTTGAGCCGAATTGCTGAGGGACAGCGCCTAGGCCCTGAGTTCAAGTCCCAGGACTGACAAAAGAAAAAGAAGGGGGTGGGGGTGGGGAGTGAGGCACCAGGCGGCGATCGGTGACCCCTGTGCCCACGCGTGTCGATCCCCCTGACCCTCACCCCGACATGTCTTCATTCAGACGAAGCCCGCTCCAAGAAGTGCGGGGTCCTGGTGCACTGCCTGGCGGGCATCAGCCGCTCGGTGACCGTCACCGTGGCCTACCTGATGCAGAAGATGAACCTTTCCCTCAACGACGCATACGATTTCGTCAAGAGGAAAAAATCCAACATCTCGCCCAACTTCAACTTCATGGGACAGCTGCTGGACTTTGAGCGGACACTGGGGCTCAGCAGTCCATGTGATAACCATGCGCCCAGCGAGCAACTCTACTTCTCCACGCCCACCAACCACAACCTGCTCCCCCTCAACACGCTCGAGTCCACGTGAGGACTGCACCCCGGCCTGCTTTTTTTTGGGGGGGGGGGAGGGAGGGGAAGGCACCCCACACACATCGATCGGCCTGTGCTCCGAGAGACCAGGCCCAAGCAGAGGCTGAGCTCACTGGTCAGCAAGCCTGACCATCGGCCGGACGTGTTAAAGACACCGTGGCCCTCAGATGACACGTGGTTTTGAGGGAGCCAGAGAAAGGGACCCCCATTTCTTACCCAGGACACCTGCATTCTGCTGATAGGCCAGTGAAATCTGGCTGTTTTTGTTTTTTAAAAAAGACATATCCACAGATGGGAGTTTTACTTTTTACTTTTGGCAGGTAAAAAAAAATCTCAAGCTCTGGGGAGCCCGAGGAGTGTTCGAACTCTTCTAGATTTTTCTTTTTCCCTTTTTTTTTCTCTCTCTCTCTCTTTTTTTTTTGTAAACAAAAAGTATTATTTTCCAGGCACCATGCTACATCGGATTATATTACTCCAGTATTTCAGTATTTCATCCCTTTCTTGATGTAGGAGAGAGAGAAAGAATATTCTTCTGTTTCTTTCTTTTCTTTCTTTTTTTTTTTTTTTCTTCCTCATTTTGGGAAAACAAAAAACAAAAGGTGGTGGATGTGTGTTTTTTTTTTTTGTCTTGGGTTTTTGTTGTTGTTGTTGATGATGATGTTGTTCTTCATGGAAGACACAAACTCCCGTGTTGATCTTGACCAAATGTATTTTTTTTTTTTTTTTTGCACATGTGTGGAAAGCCTCCATTTCCTCCCAGCAGATCCTTCTGGAAGAACTAGCTTGATCACTCTTGGCTTCTTCCCCACCAGGCGGGCCTGGCCGAGTCTTGGCCTCGTGCTGATTGTGTGCTTATGGGTTGGACTCATGGTCTTGGCATCATCTGCTCTTTCTCTCTTGCGAGGAGGCCTGGCCTGGGACAGAAGATGGCAGCGGAGACATCCTTTGCCATGTCCTGGTAGAGGTAGAACCACCAGGGGGCATTGCCAAAACAGTAGCATGAATCCTCGGGGCTCAGTGGCCCTGGATCCTTTGACACCGTACCCACAGATTCTATCTTCATCTCTAGAGCTAAGCGTTGGAGGGGGGCGGAAGGGGAGCTGGTAACTCGGCCAGGGCTGCTCCCCATGTCAGCCCAAGGGGGTAGAACAAGTAAAAAGACAGGCTGGTGGAATGATTGTCCTCCCCCCATCTCCCCCCCAGCCCTCCCACAACACAAAGCCACGGATTCCCTTTACACCTCCTCCATAGGCTTCCTCCTCCAGCTTCAAACTGTCACCAGCGGTCATAGAGACCTGGGAGGGCTTGGGGTTGTGGTGGGGGGGGGGGTGTGGGAGGTAAGGGTGGGGGAGCACTGAGCTAGGGTTCCCTGAGGCGAGCCCAGGACTCAGCACGCCAGCGGAGGCCACGGAAATCCTGCCCCTACCACATCATACCTCACACCAGGTGTGGTTTTTCAGGGATCCTTTGGGGGCCACGGGTTCAAATCCTGCCACCACTGAGACGTGAACAAGACTCTTCCACGCTGTATATGGTTCTCTCTCTCTCCTCTCTTTTATTTTTAAAATGAAAAATCCCAGAAAGACGCGTCGGCATGGTATCCATGAGGATATGCTATCAGGGTGGCCAGTTTTGCTTTGTGATCTGAATGAAGGAAAATTTGTGACCCTCCATCTGTATACACACACACACACACACACACACACACACACACACACACACACACACACACACACATCTCTCTATCTATATCCCGAACCAGCGGCGGCGGGACTTTGTTTATATTGCAAATAAATATTATTTTTTCTTTACACCGAGTCCTGGTATTCAAGTTCAGGGGGAAGTGCTGTGGTCTAGCACCCCAGAATCTGCCTCTGTGGGGGCACGGGTTGGTCCAACCGAGGGTTTGCCAGACCTTTAACTTCCGTAGATCACCGTGACTTACTCTTCACCATCCTTGGAAACCTATGGGTGCTGCGTTATACAGCCAGCTCGGTGTGGGTCTGGGCGGGTACGGGGGTGAGGAAGAGACTGGGGTCTGGGGCTACCTCTGGGGAGGAGGCTAGTGTCTACTCCAGGGGCATCAGAGACCCCTGCTATCACGGGATGATAGCAATCTGGGTGCTGACTCAGTTTCCCCTCTTCTACCTCCACACTGGTCTGGGTCTGGTGGCAGGCAACCCAGCCCCCTGCCTTTTGAGACATGCAGGCCACCTCCCCCCCCCCCCGACCCCCATCGTGGGAATAGAGGCCAGGTTCTCCCCGCCTTGGAAGTGGGTTCGAATGATGCCAGCTCTAGGCCTTGGTGTAGCCCTCAGAATGGAGGCGTGGCTATGCAGGGGGGAGGCGGGGAGTGTGGTGGGGGTGGGGATAAGAGGCAGGGTACTGATTCTGTACCCAGGCTTCCTCCCTCCCTCGTCTTTCTGTGCCAGGGGTGGGCAAGAGGGTGGGGGTCACTGGGCAGGCAGAGACTGAGCCTTTGTTTCCCCCCACTGCGCCTTCTTGCTCAGGCTGGGGAAACCCACGAGTGCTGGGCCTTTGATAGGCCGAGTAAGTGCCAGGCAGTGCCAGCCTGCCCAAGTACAAGCCAGTGGGGGGGGGGGAGTAAGTACCAGTTATATCCTCAGATGACTCCTCACACGAACCGGGGAGAGGTTTGGGGGTGCAGGAAGCAGAGGGGCCAACGTCACCCCACTGTACCTCCGATGCAGTGTGGGGTCAGGCTTTTCTAGTGTATTCATCTAGGAATTTCTTCTATTTGTCGATTGCTGGGCTTGAACTCAGGGCCTGGGCGCTGTCCCTGAGCTGCTTTTGCTCAAGGCTGGAAGTGGGCCACAGCGCCACTTCCGGTTTCCTGGTGGTTCACAGGTGGTAAGAGTCTCACAGGCTTTCCTGCCCAGGGTCCCTTACCTGGGGGGGACCCTGAGTTCCTGTTCATGTATCATCTTGGGCCCTGGACCAAGCCACACCAGGCAAATGACCACGATACTACTGCTAGTGTCCCCTGTGCTTTGAACACCTGGAGTCTATCCTAGGTTGTGTCTGCTTTGTCTCTGCATTCTAAATCCTGTCCCTTTCCTCCTGACCCTCTCTTACCCCCTCCCCTTTCTGTATCTGCCTCTTTTCCAGCCCCAGACCCAGCCTTTTTTTTTTTTTGTTGGTCGTGGGGCTTGAACTCTGGGCCTGGACGCTGTCCCTCAACTCTTCAGCTCAAGGCGGGTGCTCTACCGCTTGAGCCACAGCACCACATCTGGCTTTCTGGTGGTTCATTGGAGATCAGAGTCTCACGGACTTTTCTGCCCGGGCTGGCTTTGAACCTCGATCCTCAGATCTCAGCCTCCTGAGTAGTCACTGGTACTCTGGTATTGTCACTATCTCCTTCAGTGCCTCTGAACAGGGAATCAGAGGGTTGTTTTCCCTGCATCTCGAATTATTTCCGCCTCTTCCCCCTCCCCGCCCCCCCCTTCCCCCGGGCCTTATGCCCAGAACTGGCATTTCTGGGGCAAACACCTGTGCTCCATTTTGTTCTAGCCCGGTTTCCAAAATGGCAAAACCGGGACTATGCGCCATTCCCGTTGGACTATTCCTGTCATTGATTTGGGGAAGCTGGGTGTTTGTCTGTTCCTGGCACCTACTAGAGAGAGAGAGAGAAAGAGAGAGAGTCCAGCAACATCCTGGGGGGACCCCACCCCTTTATCCTACTCTGTGTTGCCTCTCCTTAATCTGAGCTTCTACCTAGACCACAAAACCCGCCTTGTGGCTGGTCTTTGCCTGGGAGTTGTGCTGACATTTCAGCTTCTGTGTCTGTAATGCCAGCTAGAGTCATGAGAAGACCAACACACTTGCTCCTACAGTGTCTGCATGATAAACATTTCATCTGGCAACTGCCTCCGTTGAGCTGAGGCCGGCAGGGAAGGCTCCTGTCAGGAAGCGGGGGGAGGGTGGGTCACATTGGCTGAGCCCCGATCTTGCTGATCTGAGCCCCGATCGCCCCGGCAGAGCCCCCCATTTTCAACGCCTCCAGGCCTGAGACACTAAAGGGACCTTTGGAGCTTTTACATTTTTGTTCCCCCAAACTCTAGATTCCCAAATGTGCCAGTCTCTGGAAAGCCGGCTTCTCGCTGCATCTGTGGGGGCCGGTAGAGGAGGAGAGCTGGGAATGAGCCTGGAAAACCTGGGTAGAAAGGCCTAAGCCAGGAGTGATGGAAAGTGACCAGACATCTTCCTGTGCAGATGAACCTGTAGCTTGTGTGCATAGCCCTTCCTCTTCCGGGAGCAAAGGTCACTGGGTGGCTCACAACGGTCCTCTTAGTTTCCTCAGGAGGCTGAGATCTGATTTTCTCAGTTCAAAGCCCAGCCCAGGCAGGAAGGTCCATGAGACTTTAAAAAACAAAAATCCCCCATCAGGGCTGGGAAGGTGGCTCAGTGGTAGAGTGCTTGCCTTGCATGCCTGAGGCCCTGGGTTCGATCCCTCAGCACCACCTAAGCAGAAAAAAGCCAGAAGTGGCGCTGTGGCTCAAGGTAGAGCACTAGCCTTGGGCTGAAGAGCTGAGGGACAGCGCCCAGGCCCAGAGTTCAAGCCTCATGACCAGCAATAACAACAACAAAATCTCCAATCAACTAGCCAAATGCCCAGAAGTAGGTATCAAGTAGGTAGAGCCCTAGCCTTGAGCTAAACAGCCAATCAAGAGAAGGAGACCCTGAGTTCAAACCTCAATACTGGCACCTAAATTCATTCATTCACTCATTCATTCATTCAAGTCCCTACCTGTCTATTCTTTCCCTGAGCCTCCTCCTCCAGGAAGACTTCCTTCACTGTGTCCCCTAGCTACTCTCTCCCCTGAGGATCTGGGGGCCACCGCTTACTACCTCTGCCCACCCTGCTTGCCGCCCTCCACTGGGCCGTTTTCCAGCCAGAGAGAAAGGTCTGTCCGTTCCTGTTTAGAAAGCCATGACTCGGCTAAGTGGAGGGGTCTGAAGGCCATGCTAATTGATTCATTAAACCCTTTCAGTTAATTAGCCGCAGCCTTCCAGAGAGGTGCAGGTTGGAAAACAGAAAAATCTAGCACAGAGCCAAAAACCTCCACTAGACCAAGAGGAGAGTTTCAACTGAGCCCCAATCACACGGAGCCTGATACCGGGTCCTAAGAGCAGGTGGGATCCCACGGGGGAGAAGAGGTCTAGGTTTGGGAACCACTTGGGCTACTTGGATGGGGAGCAGAAGCCTCCAGCTTGTGCCTAGACCCAGCCATTCCTGAACACGCCACACCCCAAAATCTCCAGGCCAGAGGTAGCTCAGATTGGATACCACCCCAAGGTTTCCATAACATCCACAGGCATCCTGCCTAGCCCAACTCCCCCAAACCCCCCCCCCTTCTTCAGGATCAGCCATATTGTGATTCAGAAAACAGGATGTGTGTGGGGAGGAACCCCTGTACCCAGCTGTTCCCAGGCTAGCCCTCAGGGAGTGGGAGGCTCAGAACCCAGAACACCCAGGCAGAGTCTGCGGCCTTGGCACCAGGCCCAAGCCTGTCCTCCGGCTCCCTGAGTAGCTGCCCGAGTGGGAAGAATAGGCCTTTCACGTCACGCCTGCTCCACTCACAGCAACTTTGGCGCCCCGGGACAAAGGCCCTTGCTTCATTATTGTGGAGCTATAACCACGGCCCTCCAGCCACCCCCCTGCCTCTCACCTCCCCGGCCCGGCCCAGCCAGCCTACCACCAATGGGAGGCCCACAGCCCAGCCCTGGTCACAGCCCAGAACCATCTCTCCAGATGGACCAGCCACATCAGTCCCAG